GGGGCACAGAAGTCTGGTCACCTTTGCCTCAACAGTATTAACCTTTAATGGCATAGGGATGTCAGAACAGGATGCTTCTCAGAGTTGGAGGAAACAGAGAGGTTGGGGCAAGTTGTGTTTGTTCATTCAGTGATCAAAGATAAAACCACGTTTTGGTGGCCACCATACTCAGGCTGACATAACTTTCCAAAGAGCTAACTAACCTCCTGATTGAACTGGTGAAGCAACAAACCATTAAGGACTGGAGCTCTTAAGGAGTGCAGGGACCCTATATTTCAGCTCGAAGGGTTGTTACTTACACCTGCTAAATGTATAAAAAACAGAACTTGTTTTGTGTATCATGTGATATGTTCACAAAATCTAAGATTCACCAAAGAGGATTCACTTTTGACCAGTGCTTGAGAACATTAATTTATGGCCACAGTTTATTCTTTGGACTATTCCACCTGAATGTTATTTTCCAGAGTCTCTTGGCATGAAGGCACCAAGGTAAGCTGAATGCTCAACACCACACCTAGCCCTTCAGGCCTGCCTTGGGCCTGGTCATCTCCCCTCTGGGTGCCTCTATCCTGATAATTTCCATGTCCATTAAAGCCTGTGAGTGGTCTCCCTACACAGAGACAGCTTAACCCAGGACAGAATTCACTTTAATGGTCATCTATAAGTGGAACAGGCTACTTGGTTACCATCTGTGCTCTTTAGTACTGAGCTTGAGGAAAGGTTCTTGGGTTTACCTAGAATATGCCCCACCATCCCTCAGCCGCTCATATTCCCATGCTCTCACAGGCCATAAAGGACTCGTGGTGAATTGTGAACTATTTTTAATTTGGAGATTGGTGACCAAGGGATTTCACACAAAGAGCCCAGTATAAGTTTACTAGTCACAGGCAAACCTCAGGTTTTCCCCTTGTTCCTGAGCCATATCCCTGCATGACCTTGAGAAAATCAGTCAGCCACCCCAAAGAGGGCACTTCTGGGTGTTGCCTGAGCTTTACTGATGTTAGCAAAGCTCAATACAATGGCTGCATTTTTTATTTAAAGAAGGAATAGGGTGAAGTGAGACAAGCTTCTTTTATAACTACAAAGATCTCCTGTAGTTGTGAATCTGACTTCATGGACACGATAGTTCAAACTTACACTGAACGCTTAACTTTATGAAAAGGAGGATATTTTACAAAATGGTCTCATTTATTTTTTAATCAAGAACAACTATTAACCCTATGAAGATTAAATCAAACTTCTTAGATCCAAAACATAACTCAAGTAGAAGCAGTATAATTTTAATTTTTTGTCCAGATTCAGAAGAATCCTGACTTTTTTTTTTAAAGAAAACTGTGCATTCATTTTCTCTGAAAATGACAACTCTGTACTCCAGATTTCTAGCTCTGAGATAAAATTGGATTCTTTGAAGAGGCTCAGAAACTAATTTTAAAAACCTAAAGCTCATCAATAAATGACAGAAGTCCTTTGGCTACCACTTTCTGCTCCCTAGTTCAAGGAACCATATTTTGTTCAAAACAAAATCTTTCATTATCCTTTGATGTCCATCATTAGGCAACCCAGATTACATACTTTTTGCTCTTTTCCCCTGTGAAAACTATACTGATTCTGACCAATTAAGTGGAAAGTTCAAAATCTGAATAATAAAGAATTCTCAGTTTTTTAGAGAAGTGTATTTTTGTGTTTTTAAATGTGTATCTTAATACTTATATTAAGCACTCAAACACTAAACAATATTTTCAGAGATATGTAAGTGATTTCTCCTCACTCCCTTTACCCCATCTTGATTTATATTTTGTTAGTTTTTACTTTTGAAATTTAAAAAGTACTGAACAGTATGAAGAATAGGAAACAACTTATATACCCACTGTCCAATAGTATTTTATTATGTTTGCTTTTGGTCTTTTTTTTTTAAATTAAAATGTAAAACATTTCAGGTAAAATCGAAGTCCTTTTTGTTCCTTATTCTGTTTTGTCCCATTCCAAAGACAGTTGAGTTTAAGGTGCATTCTTAAAATGTATTTCAATACTTTTAATGTGCATTCTTACATATCAAAGGACAGTATGTACTAGCATATGTGTGCGTTTTAAATGTATATGAGGGACATTTTACCCCATGTCTTTCTTTGAATATATCATATTGCATACGTTACTTTTCTCAATCAACATTGACTTACCTGCGAAGATCTGTTAGTGAATGAGTCTTATTATTTATGGTATATGACCTATTTGGAATTACTTGTACCATTTTAGTTTGTTTCTGTTTGCTTTTGTTTTTCGATTTTGTTTGCTTCCCCCCCATCTGCCTTCAATGGAGTGGTCAAATTTTCTCTCTTTCCCCTTCTCTCCTACTTTGAAAGTTAACACAGGGAGGAGGGCGGGGGGTGGGGGTGAATGGGTGATGGGCACTGAGGGGGACACTTGACGGGATGAGCACTGGGTGTTATTCTGTATGTTGGTAAACTGAACACCAATAAAAATTAATTTATTAAAAAAAAAAGAAAGTTAACACATTCTATTTCTAGCCCCTTAGTACATACCTTTAACAATATGGTTACACACAACTCATGGTATTGTAAAATAAATATATATTTTAAAAAAGATTTATTTATTTATTTATTTATTCATTCATTCATTCATTCATGAGAGAATAGAGGCAGAGGGAGGCAGAGACACAGGCAGAGGGAGAAGCAGGCTCCCCGCGGGGAGCCCAATGTGGGACATGATCCCAGGACCCCAGGATCACGACCCGGGACGAAAGCAGATGCTCAACTGTTGGGCCTCCCATGTGTCCCTTAAAATAAATATTAAAGTTAATTTCTGTTCTTCTAAACAGATGAGAAATTTAGCCTAGTTTTTTTCCTGTTGCAAAGAATGCTCTTTAACCTCCCGTATTACTATTGTCTGGAGTTTTAGTTCTACCTTGTTCTTAAAGAATGGTTGTAATTGTTAGTTAGCATATTCTATACCAGTTTTCTTTTTCTTTTCTTACCATTGCTCTCGAATGTCATCTTTCATTCTGACTTCCTGTTCTTTCTTGCTGGAGTCTATCTTGCATGTTGGGTTTGGGACATATGAAAAATGTACTTATATTACTTTCACTCCTACACGATTACTTATCTGTAGGTAGGATTCTGTTGTGTCAGTTTTCTCCCTTGAACAACTGTGAGGATGGAATTTTTCTCTTTTGGCATCTGTTGCTTCTGCAGCTAGTCTGCAGCCAGGCTGAATGTGGGGGTTTTCAATTTAAGATAATCTGCCTTCTTGGTTTGATTTGCAGATTTTCTTTGAATATTCTGTAGTTTCGCTATAGTGTGTTTGAAATTGTTCTTATTTATCATGCTCATGACTTTTTACTTATTTAATTCTTTTGATTCGGTAAATTCTTATCAATTGTCTATTGCCTTTTTTCCAGATTTCTCCATTACATTTTTCTGGAATTTCAACTAAGAATATACTGAACTGTCTCCTTTCTTTCCTCCGTGTCTCTTAGCATCTTGTTCATAATCTTTTTTTTTTTTAAGAGAGAAACGAGAGAGAGCAAGAGTGGAGTGGGGAGGGCCAGAGGGAAAGGGGGGAAGAGAGAGAATCTTAAGTGGGACTGTGCTGAGTGCAGAGCCCGACATGGGGCGTGATCTCATGGCCCTGAGATCCTGACCTGATCCGAAACCAAGAGTTGGATGCTTTACTGACTGAGTCACCCATGCACCCCAACATCTTATTCTTAATTTTCTTTATTGCTCCAGGCTATGTTTGCTCTTACTTTTTAAGTTCTCATTTCACTAATCCTGTTTTCAGTTTTTTTTTAATGAGCATATTTTCATTTTTGGATTTTTACTCAGTTTTTTTTTTTCAAATCCAGTTGTTGTTTTATAAGCTCATATTCTTAGGTTTGGGATTTGTATTTCTTTTCTTTGTGACAAGAATACTATTTTAAAAATGTTTTCAGATATTTTGTTGTCCTATCCTGAAAATCTTTTACCCTGCGCTGTAGTGTGATTGGCACGGCTTCTAGGAAAGAGGTGGGAAACACCCACTATTTTCTAAAAAGATATTAATCAGCTTTTATCATTGGGTTAAATTTTGTTCGATTTCCACAGCAAGAAAGTAAGCTTGAAGTCCAGACCTCCTTTACATCTAGAGAAGTTATTCTAATCAGCTCTAAGGTCTAAATGGTAAGCCAGAATCAGAAAGGAGGAAGTTATGTAGGGAGAGTGAAAGCCCCAAAGCTACCACTTCAAGGCATTGGGTAGAGGTGGGGCCAGCTATAGGACCAGCTAAATAGACATACAGCTTGTACAGCCGCACGGCACCATGCTTAGAAGGGCTCTGTACTTGGTTTAATGTTCCGCTGTTATCATCTTGAAGTTCCTAATAATTTTTTTTCCTAATAATTTTTGAACAAGGGGCCCTGATTCATTTTGCACTGGGCTCCAAAAATTATGTAGCTGGTCCTGGTACTAAGGGAAGTCCAGAGAGAGAGGAGGAGGAAGTAAAAGAAAAACTGACCTTTATTGACCCGAGGACACTGTGGGTAGACGAGGCAGGAGAGACAGTGAGGGAGACATATGGACTCCACTTCCTCTGTGGCCCAGGAGGAAGATACCATTTGACTTAAGAGGAACACCGGAGGTGGGATCCTTTTGTCTCACACTTTGGAAGGGAAAATCAGTCCTTTACCTCTAAAACTGAGATGATAAAGCCATCTGAAGAAGACTTTAAAGTTTTTTAAATGTTCAGAGATACCACATAGTAGAATTGTGAATTTACTCTCACTGTACTCAGGTGAACAGAGAAAATGTAGTTTAAAGAAATTTTCTATCATTCAAACGTCATGAGTAGTTCCCATCCATATAGAAGTTGGAAGAAAAATCTTAATTTTAAGTTGAATCCAGTAAACCTAGTCCAGTGCAATGTGTCCCTTAAAGCTTAATATTTGTCCTTGATTTAAACCTGGCTGGTTGCTCAGATTTCCACCTATTTTCCCTTTGCTGTCCCAGGTGGTGAGTGGGTATCTGGAAGGACGTAGCAAACATGGCTGTGCAGTGGGCCTTGAAGGATGGAAACCACTTCCTGAGGATGGTGAACTGGCAAGACAGGAACCTTGGTTACTGAGATGAAGATGCCGTATCAACCCTGGATGGCCTTCTTCCTCTGAACTTATTCCAGGTGAGGGAAAAATATATTTTTTTGGTTAAATGATGATTGTTTTAAATGTTCTCTTATATGCAGACACACTTAACTCCAATCATTACAGCTACTTAGACTGATTCTAAATTTTTGCTTATGTAAGTTATGCTGCACCTAGCACACTGGTCTAAACATCTCTTCATATTAGTCTGAGAAATATTAGAACATCTTAGAAGTTAAATTACCAATTAAGAGATTCATGAACAGCATTTTATTATTTTGTGAAATATCTTGCCTAACTTGGGAAGGTACTCTTTTTGAGGATCCTCCTGGGTAGTGAACTATTGGGGTGGGAATACCCGTCCTGCACGTGTGGGACACTGGCTGGAGATCCAGTGCTGGGAAATGGTTGACATAACATGAGAAATGTGGATGGAAGGCAGATGTTCCATGTCAAGCTGAAACTCTATCGTTTCCTTTACTAGAATGTCTAGTGAGTCAAGGTCAGTATTATAAAAGATAACCTAGTATAATAGTTGTGTGTCATGCCTGTCAGGTAGTTATTCTTAAGACTTTCATTTTAATTAAGTTGTAAAGCAGTAGACCCTCCCCACCCCCCAACAAAAAGGGGAGCTACTATGCTAAGTCCATTTCCTTCTGTGATTTTAGTTCACTCTGGATTATTAGGGGATTGATTTTAGTGGATTATGTAAATCAGTAGTTTTCAAAAACAGCAAAAAAGCCTATCAGTAAACTAGATTTTTTTATTTCTCCACATGTTCTGATTCAGTTGGGCAGGGGTAAGCCCAGGAACATGCATTTTAACGGATACATAACTTTGAGAAGCACTCATCCAGATACTTTAAAGACGTTTTTTTAGCAATTGGATGACTCTTACTGCTTCATTGCTCATCAGTCCTTTCAGAGATGCTGACCAAAGATGCTCATAGAGGTGCAACTGAGATTGGCAATTCTGGTCCTTCCCATCAAGTTGAATGGCATTTTGTGGCTCTGGATTTAAAGTAATGACCACACTAATGAATAATGGAGATGATATTTTAGGAATTATTTAATGTATTTTTTATTCCCCTTAAATCAAGATGCCATATGGCTCCACATCCTTTTAATCAATGAATCTCAGTGCTTCAGGGGCAAGGCAGTCACTAGCTAGAACACCAAAGTCATCGCTGAGCTTTGACTGTCAAATGAAGCTTTTTATGTATTGTGTCCCCAGGGAGAAAGTGCTGTTGAAAGTTAGCTCCGTCAAGAGAGAAAAGGAATTTCTGAATTTCTAAAGCTCCTTTTATATATCATTTATTCCTAATCTTACTGGATTTTTAATAGAGAAAGAGATTTGTAAAATCTCTACTTGCCATATTTTCTTGAGATTTTCTTTGCAGTCATGTACATGATTGATTTTTATGTCTTTCATTCAGTGGATGTCAGGTTCTTTAGCAATTAAAACAAGTGAGTTGATTGTACTGTTCAGTCTTTCTGTGTTTATTTCTTGTCTCCTAGATCTCACTGGTTTGAAATATTCTTCTGTTGCTGTATTTTACCTCTTTTAAATTTTTGCAAAATGTACCCCAAAACTTAAAAAACAGAACAAAACAAACCCAACAGCATAATCTCTTATTCCTCCCTATCCCCAATTCTTACTCTCTGGAGGCAACCACTCAACTCTGCTTTATCTTCTGCCATATTCCAGAATTACACGTAACTTTGACTTTTAAATTTTAAATACTATCTATTGATATTTTACTTACTATTGATATTTTACTTGGAAAATGAGTTTGAGAAGTGGAGATAAATTGCTCTATGCAGTTTGCCACACTTAAAGTCTTTAAGGAAGGGGAAAATGAGGAACAGTGGCAAGTGATGAGGTAAGTGGGTGCTGGTTCCTCTTCTGCAGGTCAAAGCCCCAGTTGGTGGGGTGAGGGGTAGTGAGTATTAGAATTAATAAGATATACTCAAAAATACTTACTGAGCACCTACTGTTCCAGCAAAATGACATCATGAGCTTGCATTATTTTGAGAGAACCAGACAATAAATAATATATAAAATACATGTCCACTGGTAAACAAAAAATGTATGGAGCAAAAAAAGTAAGGAGTTAGATGTCATGAAGAGGTGGGCTTGGGGGTGGGTTCATAATTTTTTTTTTACTAGAATTATTATAGAAGGCCCTACTGAAAAGGCATTATTTCCATAAATACTTGGAGTGGGTGAGGGAACTGGCTAAGGGTGTTTTAATAAGAGCAGAATGAAGGAAGGAGAATGAAGCAGAATGAAAAGGTAGGAGATGAGGTCAGTCAGGTAACAGTGGGACATGGCAGGAAATGGTGAGAGTAGTTTTTTTTTTTAAGATTTATTTATTTATTTATTTATTCATTCATTCATTCATTCATTCATTCATTCATGAGAGACAGAGAGAGAGAGGCAGAGACATAGGCAGAGGGAGAAGCAGGCTCCTTGCAGGGAACCAGATGTGGGACTCGATTCCGGATCCTGGGATCAGGGCCTGAGCCAAAGGCAGACGCTCAACCACTGAGCCACCCAGGCGTCCCAGTGAGAGTAGATTGTACAGGACCTTGTAAGTACTTTGGCTTTTACTCTGAGGTAGAAATTCCTGCACACTTTTGAATGGAGAAGTAACCTAATTTGACTTTGGCTTACAGGCATCATTCTGGTTGTTGTATTGAGAATAGACTGAAGGGAAGCAAAGTCTGGAAGGAAGAGACCAGCCAGGTGACTAATGCCATGATTCATGTACAGATAAGAATTAGACCAGAGTTGGCAGTAGTGAAGAGACAGTGAGAAATATGAATTCTGGATATATTCTGAAGGTAGAGCCAACAAGATTGCTAATGGATGAGCTTTGACAACCTAAGAGGAAGAGAAGAGACAAGGAATTCTGGCCTGAGGAACCAGAAGGAGAAATGCTACCTGGTGTGTTGAGGAGGATTGTAGAAGGGGTGGATTTTAGGTGGAAAGATCAGAATTTAGTGTGGACAGATCAGGTTGGAGATGCCTGATGGTTAACCAGATGACACTGTGGACTAGCGCTTGGTTATTGGAATCTAGAATATGTGGGAGAGGTTGAGACTTACAGCGAAATTTGGAATCGTTAGCAGATTTAAAGCCAGGAGACTAGATGAGGACACCATGGGAGTGAATTTAAGGGAGGATTGAAGAAGAGGCCTAAGGACTGAGCCCTGGGTTACTTTACAGTTAGAGATCACAAGTGGCTGAAGGCAGCAGGTTGAAGACTCCTTCCCCAGAGCAATCCAAAATGCTGCACGTATTTGGCCTCTAGGCGGTGCCAGCCTTTTGGAAAACAAGGCTGTTTATGTAACAGATTGGCAGTTTGAGCGGCTGTGTAAATGTCATTCTTTAAAAATAAAGATGAAACTCTCTGTTAACTCAAACAGGAGCAAATTAAAAAGTAGAATGAAACATCTACTTCGTGAATACAATTCATCCGCTGTCTCTGGTACTTCAAAACGATACCTTTTCTTCAAATGATAACTGGCATCCTCCCACTGGCTTTAGCTAGGCAGTGACAAAACAACAGACCACTTCACTCACTTCAGTGAAGAAGAAAAATCCAGTCTGTTAGGATAGGCTTCATGTGACTCATACACTCAGAGACCGGATCCTTTCTATGCAACCAAACTCAGAAGCCGAATAAGCTACTGAAATATGACTGAGCTTTGGAGTTTATTCCCTGAAATGTATTGAGGAAGTATGGTATTGAGAATCTCAATTGTTTCTAGACCCAAAAGATGATTATTTTTTCTTGTGAATCACCAGGAGGGTCCTTGAAATACCAATTTTCAACCATTTTAAGGGTACATCTATAATACATAAAGCCACCTCATTTTGAGGGCTTTGTGTCTTGTTTCCTAATGCAGAATCTCAACCTTAGCTTCAAAATGGAACCACTTAGGAAGCTTTTAAAAATCCCAAGCCTGGGTGGCTCAGTGATTGAGCACTGCCTTTGGCTCTGGTCATGATCCCTGGGTCCTGGGATCGAGTCCTGCATTGGGCTTCCCATAGGGAGGCTGCTACTCCCTCTGTCTATGTCTGCCTCTTTCTTTGTGTCTCATGAATAAATAAATAAGTACAATCTTTTAAAAAAAAATCTCAACGCTCAGGCACATACTCCAAACCAATTAAGTAAGGATCTGGAGGTAGGACCCAGTTAACAGTATTTTTCAAAAGCTTGTTAGGTGATACTGTGAAGTGACCCCTTTGGTTCCTTCACTCTCTGTACCTCTTCCCTGGAATTCAGACCCTTGTCCTTGGGGCTGGCTGCAGGGACCATTGTCCAGGACTCACACTGCTTTCTCCTGATTTGTCTCTCTCCTGAGTTCTACTCATGCAGACTGATCCCCAGTGGACCCATCTTCAGTATTTTATGCCCATCATCTCAGATTTGTCTGAAATCCAATGGTGGCTATGTCTTGATTTCAAGCCTGAGGCTTCAACCATGCAGTAATTGGTGGATAGGAAAGATACCTCCTAGATTATTTAATATGTTGGTTCCGAAATACCAGCCCAGAGATGAACTCTTCTGAATAAGAATAAAATATATGCTAGACTCAACCCCCAAAAGGCCCATTAGGTAGGTCTGGAGAATGACTTAGCAAGCTGTGTTTTAATCAGCTAAACCTTCAAAACCTAGGGGTAATAGAATCTCAGACGGGATATGACTTGTTCAGTGTCTCTTGGCTTTTTAGGAAAAGAGACAGGCTTAGAATTGAGTGTCTTGACTTCTATGAAAAGAAGTCATGGTATGGATAAATATAATTTTTGTATTTCCAAAAAAAGAAATCCAATGAATTTTCTTTCTAACCCTTACCAGTCAGACATTAGGGAAATGGCAAAGCATTCTGGAGAGTCCTATTTGGTTTCTAGCCCCTGCTTAGGCACACATTAACTCTGAGGTTTGGGGCAAGTATTTTCATCTCCCTGAGATTGTCTTCAATCTTTCAGGTAAGGTGCTGTATGTCTCATATGGTTTTGTGAAAATTGA